TTGGTTTAGGGTTTTTTTTTTTATATATATATATATATATATATATATATATGTATACATATATTGATTTTTTAATTTGTTATTATAAAACTCGAAACTTTCTTGGTTTCTGGCAAGCACTTTCAGAGGGGCAATTGTTTTTTGGCGTCATAGGAGAGTCCAGCTCTGGCTAGAGAAACCTGGTACAGCAGAACCATTTTCTGGCAACATGGCTATCTGTTGGACCCATGCCAAAGAAGAGGAAGCACTTGAAAGATACAAGTTGATTACAGGAAATATAGTTTTGTTTCCCAAGTTTCAGGTCCACGATAAGAACAGCTTAGAAGATGACTGGCTTTTCAGCTTCACCTGATGGGCTAGTTGACAAGTGTTCTGGGCTGAATCCCAGAGGAGTGCTGGGAATAGAGTGTCCATTTTTTAAAAGGAGAGAAGATTAGGGCTTCACCTAGGCATGAATTGTATAGCTATATAGTTTATTAGCGGGCACCATCAAAACTGATGCAGCCAAGACTTATGAGCTAAGCCATTTCGCAATCTATATATATATATCTATAGGAGCTTAAAACCCGTAGTACAAGGTAAAAAACAATCATGAGAATATATCCCGAATAATCTAAATATTTCTATTAATTGAGTTTTTAGTAAAATTATAATTTGCTAACTAGTCTGCTGCTATGTTAGCCTCCTTGAATATGTGCTGAATTCAAATTTTCCGATCCTTGGCTATAAGCTCTAGTACTTTTATAACTATAGTATGATTTGCATCTATCTTAATTATTGTTCTTGGAATTAGTTGAACCACTTATGAAAATCCAATTCTAAAATGACCTATCTAATCCTAAGAGATTAAGTTGGTTTCAAACCAGTAATAATATCTCATAATTATGCTTTGACTAATGAGCAAATACCTTAAAATTTGAATAGTTGAAAGTATTTTTTTTCATTATTTTTTATTTTTACTTGTATTTACAATAAAAGTTAAATGTTTCTAATATTAAATAAATGATTATCCATTCTTGGTGGTGTAGGTAGCGATGCATCTTCTTCATCATTAACTTATTTTGTAGTGGAGTATTTGAAAATATAATAATAGTTATTTTTTAAAATATTTTTTATTTAAAAATATATTAAAATAATTTTTTTATTTTAAAAAAATATTTTTAATAAGGACATCAAAACTATCCGAAAATATAAAAAATTAATCTTAAATAAATAATTTTTTTTTCCCAAACTTTACATAAAACATAACCCGGTTTGTAATGCAAGGCCATAGAGAAATCATAAATTGGCTATCATTATTCTTTAGCAAAGAGATGATGGATGCAAATCCATTGCAAATACATAGTAATAGGGAATCGAGATAGCTCCTACCGAACTCTTTGATGTAAAATATATTAATTTGCTTATCAATACACATCCACGGCAACATATTGATCGAAGGCAGCTCATACAATTATTTTGCCAAAATTGATTAGTAAATTTGGATGCTAGTTTCCTCGTGAATTTATTTCGTTTCAGTCCTGATTAACATGTTATAATATCCAAGAAATTGTCCTGTATCTCAAAAATCATGAATGACACGGGTGGAAAAAATAATTTTTTTTTGTTTTTTATTTGTAAAAAAAACAAAAGCCATTACATATGAATTTACAGCCCTTCAATCACAAAACTATTAGCATACAAGCACTCAGCATCTCTCCAGGTGGCCGGAGAGAGCAGTCACACAGAGTGAATGAAAGACTTCACATTATTGTGCAATTGCACTTGGATTCCAACTTCGGAGGCTTCATGCTGTCCATGTCGTTCGGAAGCCCAACATTACGAACCATAGATTCATTGGCATTCTCGGCCGAATCCCAGAGGAGTGCTGCAAATACAGTGTCCATTTTTTAAAGGAGAAAAGAGTAGGGCTTCCTAAGCTGGTGGAGGTTGCTTTGCATCTTCTCCGCTACGACTTCTTCTTCAGCAGCGGTAAGGCGTACGACTTACGAGAGTATTGTAATGATTATTTTTAAAAAATAATTTTTAAATTCAGTACATTAAAATAATTTAAAAAAATAAAAAATTAATTTTAAATAAAAAAAGAAAAATTTTCAAACCTTACCCAATCCAGATTGTAATGCAAAGCCAAAGAGAAATCATAAATTGGCCATCATTCATTATTCTCGAGCAAAGGGATGATGTATGCAAATCCATAGCAAATATATTATTTTTCCAACAAATTAACATTGATTATTAGTAAATTTGGATGCTAGTTTCCTCGGGGAATTTATTTCGTTTCAGTCCTGATCAACACGATATGATATCCAAGGAATGAAGTTTCCATGCAAAGAAAATGAAATATGGTTGTTAAACACAAGCTGGATTAATAGGGCCAGCCTCTGAATTTAATTAGCTAGCTAGGCATATACCTCCAAG